AATATTAATATAGTAGCAATATAAAGAAACCAGGAAGTGTGACTGAACATATTATATAAATCTCTTCATTTATTTATTTAGAATCTTTTTGCCCTTCCCATCCATTATATGCTTTTATCTGTTATTTCCATTGCTAGGTCATTTCCTGTCGAAACAAGTTCAAAATTGTAAGAAAACAATAAATGAAATTGAGGAAAATTTTATTAAGTGTGGAGATTATAATAATTAAGTAGGTATTATAAGTCTCGACTAAACGTTCAAGCAAAGAGGAAAGGAACGGGATAAACATATTACTTTTTATTTTATTCTACAGCAAGATATACAGCTGCAGATACCAATGCGACAGTTGACAAATTTATCAAAACTAATTTAAAACGAAATTCCAAGTTCTGTTAAAGAAAACAGATTAATTTTCTAAACGTCAACAACTTATTGAATCGCACATTTGTAGTATTATGTATTTTTTTATTTATCTGCTCGTGTCAAATTTTTGGTTAAAAAAAATAAAAATAACTTCACTGATCCTTTTGGCGCAAGGGTTTATTTCACTAATTTTTTAATAAGTAATTACAAACAATATAATAAATATTGTCGTGGATTTTGATTGGTCGTTATTTGGATTGGCCCTACAAAGATAGCATATTAAGGGCCCCATATTCTTTAAATAATGTTTCTCGCATAGACAAATAATTTCAAACATTTAATAACTGAATAATCTAAAGCTGATCAAATAATAGGAATGTTATGTCATGCCACCTGNCTTTTTTTCAATCGGAACAAGCGTACCATTTATTAAGGATCAGATTGAACCCAGAAAAATATCAGGAGAGTTTTGTTCGAGAATTCTTTTAAATAGGTACGCTAGTTTAAACCTCCGCATAACCTTTACATATCGCTAGAAACCAAAAGTGGAAAATAAACCGCATGATGACTTTTTTCATGAAAATTCGTTATCCGAAGGTGAAAGAGCTTTCATAGGAATCGGCAGGAAGTCAATTTAGAAAAAATGCTTTAAACAAAAGGTTCACATTTTTCGATGTAGAATAGAAATCCTTAATAAAAAATAAACTATTTTATTTGAAAAAACTGACTTCCGATCCAAATTGGCTACTTCCGGTCGGAACCAGATGTTAAAAACCTCTCCAGTCAATCAGGCAAGGTCCATTTACTATTTGATGACTTTGAATTTTGCATTTCGTTCAATATCTAGATTTTAGAAGGGGTGGACGGGTGGTTTTAGACACCCGGCACATTAAGCATTAAACAATTAGAATCTAAAGTAAAGAAACAAGATAGAATCAAGCATTTATATTTTGTTATACGATTAATATGTTAATAGAATTTATGGTCACCATAAATATTTTATAAATTTTACTTTAATAGTATTTTTGTATAAAAGCTTAAAATGTGGTATAAATTTAAAAATATTAAGTAGTATTGTACTACTTAAATTTTCAAGTACTTGAAATGTGACATTCAACCATAAGACATAAGAATAGCTACAAATAAAAAATATTTTCATTGAAAATTTCCTACACTGTTTAATTATTTTAATATGTGTTTTTTAATTAGCATTATTTAAATAATTTATTTCAGATAATTATTATTAGCGACTAGCTTGCCTATTTATCTGATTAATATACATATTTAAATATTTGGTACCTAAGTTCATACATGACTGATGATAATTTTAGGAAATTGTTTATAATTAATTTGAGTCAGTCTAATACTTTAGTAAGAATGTATTAGTTTATTCTTTTTAATCATTTATTGCTGAAATTTGCTTAGACATGGATTGGACTTAAATCATAGTTTGAAAGAACTTTCTTGTGTAAATAGTAAAATGTAAAAATACTCTTAAACGACATTTGCTTTTAAAACGTTAATGACATACAAACACTGAGTTACAGTCAAAATTAAATTTGAGTTTGCCGTAAGGAAAAATTTCTGCAAGAAGGCTTAAAAGTATATTTTCTTTGATTTCCTTGTGCCCTTACAACAGACAAGCAACGTCGCCTTAAAATCGATACGAACGCCTTGAATTCAGCCTTCTATTCGAGAAGCAAAACTTTCTCAAGCATTTACGAAAATTACTGTTATTTACTAGTTGTCGCTGTTAAGCGAAAGCCGCACATCAATCTCCGGTAACAGAAATATACAATAAATATTGTTTCTATATAAATGTAGGTACCTTTACTTACCGGAAATATCACATCATAAAATAGAAATTTTAACACATAATAGCATTTTATATGTTTGAATATGTTTTTGTATTTTTGAAAGTTCAGCTGTTTTCTTATTCGATATTAGGACAAACATAAAATATATTAATAATACTAATCTGGAAGTATTTTTAAAATCAAAACAAATTATCAGAAATATTAATATAGTAGCAATATAAAGAAACCAGGAAGTGTGACTGAACATATTATATAAATCTCTTCATTTATTTATTTAGAATCTTTTTGCCCTTCCCATCCATTATATGCTTTTATCTGTTATTTCCATTGCTAGGTCATTTCCTGTCGAAACAAGTTCAAAATTGTAAGAAAACAATAAATGAAATTGAGGAAAATTTTATTAAGTGTGGAGATTATAATAATTAAGTAGGTATTATAAGTCTCGACTAAACGTTCAAGCAAAGAGGAAAGGAACGGGATAAACATATTACTTTTTATTTTATTCTACAGCAAGATATACAGCTGCAGATACCAATGCGACAGTTGACAAATTTATCAAAACTAATTTAAAACGAAACGAAAGTTCTGTTAACGAAAACAGATTAATTTTCTAAACGTCAACAACTTATTGAATCGCACATTTGTAGTATTATGTATTTTTTTATTTATCTGCTCGTGTCAAATTTTTGGTTAAAAAAAAATAAAAATAACTTCACTGATCCTTTTGGCGCAAGGGTTTATTTCACTAATTTTTTAATAAGTAATTACAAACAATATAATAAATATTGTCGTGGATTTTGATTGGTCGTTATTTGGATTGGCCCTACAAAGATAGCATATTAAGGGCCCCATATTCTTTAAATAATGTTTTCCGCAAAAACAAATAATTTCAAACATTTAATAACTGAATAATCTAAAGCTGATCAAATAATAGGAATGTTATGTCATGCCACCTGAGTATTTTCAAAGACGCCGCAGTAAAACGAATAAACAGGTGCAAAAAACGATCAAACCATCAAGGTTTTAGGTACTGAAATCTACGAAAATACTAACTTTTTTATATATAATTCCACATGTAAATATTCTTATAACATTTACTTGCTTAGTCCTACATATAAAATTGTTTACTTTTATTTATAAGTACGTGAAAATAATTCTTAAAATGTGGGGTTAGAATAACAGCAAACGCATGTTTTACAAACGCTTTTTTTTACTTATTATTTTATTTGAGTAAATTTAAATGGTAACAATGAATAAACAAAACATCAAGGATTTTATTTTTGTGCTTACTTTTGTTCTACACGTTTTACTTTTAAAGATTTCAGTACCTAAAAACGCCAGAAATTTCACTATTTCTCGGCCAGGAATATGGCCACCTTAAGGAGATCATACACCCTCATATAGGAATCTGTTTGAGCGATGGTTCTTGGGAACCTCATTTTTGCCTGCGGTATTGGGAGATTAGTCGCCTGCACGCCTGCAAGCGGATTTGCAGGTTGCTCGGGCATCTCTCCCTTCACGCCAACGACAATGGACGTTTGGCATAGATGACGTCGATGCTGTCGCTCTTTCTCCACTGACGACGAGATTGCTTAGCCTTAGAATAATTATTAGAGTTCGGGGTTTTCGTCGGCTAGTCATAAGCGTTTTCGTCGTAAACAAATAAATAAACAGGCAGGTATAAACAAAAATAAATAAATTTGCGTATTTTATCAGTGAACGGTCGTTTTTTACTCTTTGGCACGTTCGACATTATTAGAATATTAAAACACGTATACACGAAGCAAACGTGAAACCAATTACTGCTGTTATTACCGGTTTCGTATGGTGCGCTGTAGCGAGAGGCCGACGCGACGGCTATGATCATCTGACCGAATCCCGAACTCTGATAATGATGCACACTCTATTTTGTACCTAAAGAAGCGCTGGCACTTGCAATATTCTTTTAAATCTGTAATATTGTCTTTTGGAAGGTTTTCAACTGAACCAAAGACAAGAAAATTTGAAGCAAACTTTGAGTACTGGCCAGGTTCCGAACTCTGATTATTAAACAGCATGGCTCTTTAGGACGGTCTGGTGTGCGGGCCGGTTGCATTTGGAAAATTTGCTTTTTGGAAAACCGTTCCTTTGTACATTAAGGGCGTTTCCAAAGAGTTGGGATGCTGAAAATGATTGTGGTCAGTGTTGACCCTTAGGTCGTCTTGAGAATTATGGAGCTTTGTAATGTTTACTGATTGTGGAAAGTATGATGAAAATTTGGCGCCCTTCAGCGCTGTTGGCAGATTCAGTGCGATGATGAACATGTGTTGTCGTCATCGCATGATACGGCTAGTGACTTTTGGCGGCAATCATGGTATCATAGCGGTTTGGCGGGAATTTTTGGAAAGTATGGTCGAAATCGTTGGCGCCTTCCTGTATCTATCTGTCACAATAACACTTCTGAATATGTGTAAAATTCGACTGAAATAATTACATTGCATTTGTTATATGCAATTAATTCTACAAAGTGCTGAAAATTATTATATACAGTTTAATTCATTTTTACAACGTAAATTTCTAAATTGTACTGTTTTTTCTTATAAAATTTTGTTAAAAGAAATTATATTTATTAAAAAACTAAAAACTTATTGGTAATCTGCAAAAATATGTTTTGATTAGAAATAGTTAATTCTATTCAATAATGAAACCAAACAAAAAATAATGAGGTGCCATAAAAGTTTTATTTGAATCAGTTCCGATTAAAATATTTAAAAATCACCCTTTCAAGATTAAATTCTTTTGAACGTTTAATACACTATTTTTTTTTTTTTTTTTTTCTAGGAGAGATACAATCAGCCAGTACGAAATTCTCTTTCACCAAAGTAGGCCACGAGCTCTTGAAGCTTTGGATTCTCTGCCAGATTTAATGCACGCTACTCAGCTCAAATCAAAAATATTATTTTCTGTGGTTGTGGTAAGTTATATATTTGACCATTTATAATGTTAACAATTTTACCAACAAACAGGTTGATGTGAATTCCATAATAAAACGATGCTGGAATTATGAACAGTTTCTATATACAAATGTCTATTAGAGCAAAAATGTAATTATAATTATACTAAGAATTAGAACAAGGGCACCCTTTTTATTAATGATTCGATTCAAGTAATTTTGGTGTCGATATATATGGCACAAAGAACTGTATTTTAAGACAAGACGACGGATTTTAGTTCTTCAGATCAAGACCAAATATAATATGTTTCTTAGTCAAAAAAATGAGAAATGGTTTTTATCATTGCTAAGCAGCTTCCGCATCTCCAAAAATTGAAACTAAAAATTCAAGCCATTTTTTTCTTTTTCATTTAATTTTGAACAATTTTAATGTCGACACATTCTACAAAGTAATCTGGTGGCCTGAAAAATGTAACTGAATTGTCCTTGACTCATGCCCTCTTGTCAATGTTACAATAATATATTTAACAATCTATGATATATGTTTCGAAAAATGTGTCATAAATTTAAGAGCTACGAGTAGTATGAAAAAGACAATTTTTATCATATTTTCACAAAATGCAATCTGTTACATTAATATTCTAGATAGATAAATGTTAATTACACAATTTACATTTTTGTAAACATCATGTATTATCATTATAACATATAAAATCTTTTCCTCATACAGCAAAATATCAAACAGTACAAATTACCTGTTGGTGAACTTGGATTTAGTTTCAAGTATCATCAATCATTCAGGTTCGCCAACTTATTTAATGGTAGTAATCATTTACAGTCTACGACAATTGTGGAAGAGTAACGATGAGAATATCCTTATATGGCACTAAAATAAATAGACCACGCTTTGAATACTTAATTATAAAATATCCATTGAAAGCGACTACATTCATATGGACATGTTTTAAAATTGATAAACGCTTTATTTTTGTTATACTTTTCTTGAAAAAAAGTCAAATATACGTAATAAAGGTGCACTTGTACGGGTCACTAAACTGTAAATCATCGAAAGTTGGTTAAATTGTTGTTGATTGATTTTTTTTTTTAATGGAATACCCTGAATATTATGCCATTTTTGAATTGTACGGTAAATTCTGAACACTTTTGGAAAACTGTACCATATCTCTAAAATCAGCGGTTTTCGTAATAATGAGGTTTAGTTCGATGATTAAAGTTAATATTTTGTACTTCTTTCTATAATAATCCATCTGTATATGCGCCTTAAGATAAATGCATAAATTTTTTGAAAACATGTTATTGTATTAGATTTCTCTCGTCATAACGAAAAGATCAAACGGACAAATATTATGAAACTCGTCCCATTACAAAATATTGTTCCATAAATATGAAACCATAGCTAGATATACGGATGGTTTATCAAATAATATCATGGAAATAACTTTGACGTCTGGCATCAGACTGGGGTGAAACAAGTAAACATATTATCCTTTGTTTTAATCAGAATTAACTTTGTTTTGTTACAAACATACATATTGTTACATATTAAATAGCTTTGACTTTGAAAATTATGAATTTAATAACATGGGTAGGCACAAAATTAACATTATTATTTTTTAATTTACAAACTAAAGAAAAATAAATATTGACAAATTAATAAAATCATTTTGTAGTCGTGTAGAGTAGAGTGTGAGATTCACAGTTAAAATGTAGTACTATTACATCAACTGTAAGACATATTGACTGTATACTAGATCTATTATTTTAAAGTTAACACCTTAAATATCTCGTAATTTATTCATTATACACTTCCGGTTTAAGCGCAGACGATAAGTGCACAGTACAAATTGCTAGATTGTCACACCCTTCAAAACTTGTGGAAAAAGTGTTCATATTGCCTAGCTATTAAATCATATGCACGTACTAGAAATTCGGTAGAGAAGAGTTTTTACTTGAAATAACTCAACAGTTTCTGTATTCTCATACTTTTTAATACAACAATATGAATATTATTTAATTCCAGTCAATATTGTATATACTATATAAAAATATTTATTTATTTCAGTTAGGTACATTTTGTTTTACATTTTTTATTTTCATTGTTCAGTTTTTACTTTTTATACTGTTTTTATATATAAAATTTTAGATAAAAATGCTAAACAGCCATATACAGGGAGGTCCAGTTTCCGATGCGGAAACTTCAGGGTATATAGATTCAAAAAATAATATGAATTTGATATAGTTTATATAAACTATATTCGAAAAATGCTTCGTTAACAGGGTTAAAGATTGATTTAAAAAAATCAAATTTATTAATTGTTGTTAAACGGCTAAAGGTATTTCGATGAAATTTTGTAGACGTTAACTACCAACGAGTGAGCACATTTTACAATGAAAAGCATTATTTTTACTTTTGCCAGTGGCGTCCGTACTAGCACGTTACTGGATATTTCTAAAGAAAAAATTGGTACGCCACTGCTTTTACATAAAATAAAAATCAGTTTTAGATTCTTTATTCGATTTGGATTTTTCTGTATGACAGCATTTTCGAGTAAAAAATAAAAAATCCTTTTAACACATACAATGTAAATATGAAATATTGTAATGTAATGAAATTGTAACAAGAAAAACAACATTTAATTAGTGGTGTACAAAAACAACAAAATAAAATAAAAATGTAAGTTAAAGAAATTGCTCGAAATGTAGTCCACCCACCTCAATACATTTTCGACATCGTGTAACTAATGAATTTATTGCAGCAGCTACTTCACTTGGATTTCGCCGCATATCATTGCAGGCTTGCTTGAATCCTCAAAACTATATCATCTCTTGTTAACACTGCAGTAGCGTAAACTTACATTTCCCCAAAAGTAAAAATCTAGTGAATTAAGATCCGGTGACCTGGGTGGCCCGACCACAGGTCCAATACCATTAACCACGTCATGATTAATGTAATTCCTCCCTAGTCGGCCAATCCAACGTTGCGAATAATTAGTATTTAGTCATTCTCTTACAGCTATTCCAAAATGCGGGGGGGGCTCCATCCAGTTGTATTCAACTTTCATGTCTTAAGTTAACGGGTATATCATCGATGTAGTCCTGCAGGTTATTAGTAAAAAATTCAATAAATAGTTCCGAGTTTAACCTTGGGAGTAGAAAATGCGGACTACAAACATTTTTATTAAAAACTCCCAACCAAACAGTTACGAAAATTCATTTTGAAATGACCGTGGCCGAATTTTCGTGTGCCCAAATATGGATATTGTGCTAATTCGTTATTCCACGTCTACTGAATGAGCATCCCCAGGGTGTAAATCCTGAACGGGCTGTAGGTAATATGCATGCCTGTGGTCATGGCGTAATATTGGTAATATTTGAGACTAGATATTTGTAGTTGCTGAGCTGCCCTGCGAGAGCTGAACCTGAACTGAAAAGTACGAAGAATAGGATTCCGATTGTTATTGCAACGGTTTCTATTATGTTCATTATTAACATGCAGGCCAAAGTTACGAAACTTTTGATGTATTGCAAAGAAAACACGATCATCTGGAATTCTTCTATTCGGATAACGATATTCACGAACTGCCGCTTCCGCATTTGCATCAGAAAATCCGTAACAAAAATGAATATCTGCGTATTCTTCGTTACTAAAAAGCATTTTTCACGATAACACTAATTATAACTATAACAATACTAGGTAGCTAACTAAATGAGATACAGTTACTAATTAATTTGACAGATAAATTTGTTATTTTGTTGTACTTGCTCAATTGTTTTTCAAAGATCACTTTGAAAACGCTGAGTTGTACAGAAAAATCGAAATAGAGCTTTTTTCTTCCAAATTGAATGGAGAATCCAACACTGATTTTTATTTTATGTGACAGCAGTGGCGCACCAATTCTTTCTTTAGAAATATCCAGTAACGTGCTAGTACGGGCGCCACTGGCAAAACTAAAAATAATGTTTTTTATTGCAAAACATGCTCTTTCAATGTTATAGTTCGTCTACAAAATTTCAGTGAAATATCTTTAGCCGTTTGAAAACAATTAGTATATTTGATTTTTTTTAAGCCAATCTTCAACACCCTGTATTTCTTTAACGAAACATTTTTCGAATATAGTTTATATATCAAACTCATTATTTTTTAATCTTTACCGAAGTTTCCGCATCGGAAACTGGACCACCCTGTATTTACCATTTGCTCAACAGTACCGACAAACTTCATCACTAAATTCTACCTTCAAAAATTAGAAGTAAAAATTCTTGTAAACATGAGCCTTAAGTACTTCCTAAGGGAGCTACAGCCTATTGACAGGGCGCCACTGAACAGGAGTTTTATTAATAATTTCTAAAACATATAGAAACAATTAAATTAAATTTTAGGGAATTGTTCCTCCCCCTTTTTCACCGCTGAATACTAAAACCTTTCACTTGATACATGTTTTGTTTATGGAATGATTTCAAAGATATTCAAGCATATTATATTTCCGAAAGACTTATTTACAGGTCCAAAATATTATTATTATATAAAATATCACAATATCTAAAAAAGAATGCTGATTACTTATTTTGTAAAACTTAATTTGAAATCATTATTACAGTTTTGATTGTTGAGAAGCGTTGAAAATAGTCTAATTAAAAATAAATAAATGTCTTCTAAAACAAACACATTTTTTGCCTACGCAAGGTTTTTATTTTTCTTTTCCGGTTTCCCAAAATAAATAAGTTGAGTTATAGTAACATAAGTACCGCATATTTCCAGAAAAGTTATTGCAACACAGGTGCTCGATACACGGTGCCTTATTGGAATACAGAATATTTAATAACATAGTCCACCAGATAGGTAAATGGACAAATATGCGTAGATATTGAGTATACCTTCGTGTATTACATTAGAATATTTGAATAAATTGCACCGTAGCGTTCTTTGCACATAGAACGAATTATTTCTCATTAATTGCCATTCCATTTCTTAGTATTTACATTTAATAATTTTGAACTTT